ATCATCAAATACTGTCAAAATGAAGAGAATTTCTTACTTAAGTAAAAGGTGATAGGTTACAATGTTTTAATCATTGAATTCTATACTTAAAATGGGTGGATTTTGCAGTATATAAATTATACCTCAGTAAAGCTGTTTCTTCACACACACATAAAAAAAATAAAAAGGAGCCCTGGCCGGCTTGGATCAGTGGATAGAGTGTCAGCCTGTGGACTGAGGGGTCCCGGGGTTTGATCCCGGCTGGGGGCACATGCCTGGGTTGTGGGTTCGATACCCAGTGGGGGGTTTGCAGGAGGCAGCTGATCAATGATTCTCTCTCATCATTGATGTTTCTATCTCTCTCCCTTCTCTCTGAAATCAATAAAGAAATTATTTAAAAAAATAAAAATAAAAAAATAAAAAGGAGCTCTAGCCAGTTTGGCTCAGTAGATAGAGTGCTGGCCTGCAGACTGAAGGGTTCCAGGTTTGATTCGGGTCAAGAGCACATGCCCAAGTTGTGGGCTCAATCTCCAGGAGGGGGCATGCAGGAGGCCACCAATCAATAATTCTCTCTCATCATTGATGTTTCTGTTTCTCTCTCCCTCTCCCTTTCTCTTTGAAATCAAGAAAAATATTTTTTTAAAGCAAAAAATTACAGTTTATTGTCAAGAAAAGAACAACCTCCTCTGAAGGCCTGAAATTCCACATCTGTTCCCTAATCACTTAAAACTAGCTGTCTCTAGAAATCTAACTGCACTTGCATATTACTGTGTCAGTGAGCAGCTGGATGTGACTGCATTCAGCCTACTGCTTAGCTCACCATCTTTATAACTTGGCAGTAATCACTAGAACCATCATGCTGTTCACCTCTACTGCTCATCAGATGTCCCTCTGGAATCTGGTAAATTTTAGCTATAAGTAAAGGTTGCTTTTACATTGCCCAATTTAGGCTCCTAAATCTCATCATTTTAGATGAGTGGAATATGGTAATAGCTGTTCCTTTCAGAAAGAATGGTGCATGTACCCTAAGAAAAGGGATATACTGGGGTGGATAGATTGATGGCATTTTACCCTGAAGAAATAGAATTTTGAAAGGTTGCCAGGCATTGAGGAAGGGTCAGCCAGCACCCCCTAAAAGGAGGCAGTTTGCCCATCTTCCTGTCAATAACACTTAGCACGCTGAGCTGTTTTATCAGACAGATGGTGAGCCATGCACCATTATGACCAATTCAGTGTTGCCACCGTGCAGACGGCTCCCACGACTGTTAAGCTCCCTGGTCACCTCAAATATGGCTTTTTGTGTGGCCCTTTACAGCTCTGCTGCATGGATTCTATGTTCCCAGTGGCAGGAAGAAAACAGCATAGGGGAATTTCAATACGAAAGCCAACTTGAATATTTCATTTCATTTTAATGAAAAGAATTCTAACTTATCAAAGGTCTACTAGTGTTACTGCCAGCAATGATATAATTAAGACTTTCAATCATAAAAAGTTCTTCAAATTTAAATTTCTCAGATATATATTACCCTTCAGGCTGATGTGTAATTTCTTCAGAATATGAAAACTAGTTTTAAGATGGAATTTAGATTGTGTGAACCTAAGGGGAAAAATCTGTTTCCCATAAAACACATTTGGTAAATTATTTCAATTAATATTAGAGATTCTTTTTAATTTATGATTTTTATCTGAAGCATATTTACATTCATAGATTAGAGTCCCTCAAAAAATACTTTCCAATTTTTATGATACTTAAAAACCAAAGAACATGTGAAATGATGGTCAGTAGAATGTAGTATGTATATCTGGACTTTTTTTTTTAAAGCTGAGAAATAAATAGAAGCTTAGTAAAAAAAGGTTAAAATATCTATAATCATTTCATCACTTTCTCTTTGCATTGGATAGAACAGATATAAAATATTAACCAAAGAAAGATGCATTTTATAAGATTTGTATAATTATAATAAATAGGTTGTAAATTTAATCTATAAAATTATTTTAAATAATCTATATTTATTTAAAATTAATCTATAAAATTAACTAAACTAAGTACTAGAAGTATACTCTTTACATAAGTGTTAGTTTTATAGGTATAGTGCAGGGATAAACCTGAAGTCATCTTGAGGCAAATATGTTATACGTTTAATTCTATTCCTGAATAATGGAACTATTTTCTATTTACCTGATCCAATAGCCCCACATTAATTTCTTTACATTCAGATAAAGCATGAGTGTAAGGATATACCTAAGGTTTTCCAAACAATGTGCAGTGAAATTTGTAGCCTAGAGTTTTGATTGCCCCAAACTGTCAATAGCAATCCTGTTACCACCAACAAAAGGCAACGGACTCTTCACCCTATGTTAGTTTCTCATTTAAGAGGAAACCATCACTCTTGCTCAACCTAATATAATCTATTCAAAAGCATTAACAAAATATCTCTTTTTTGGAGTCACTAAGATAGCCATTGGACCAATTCCTTTAGATAATTGGTTTGATATGGGTATTTGCTTACATAAATTGGATTCAGAATTTTTTTCTTTTCAAGCTGAAGCTGTTTTCATTCACACTTGGGGTTCTCCATCTGTCGATAAAGCCTGTTAGCTCACCATCTCACTGGCTCTGAGGTGCTAGTTTTCCATCTGGTAAAACCCTAAAGAGAACCCCAGAGTCAGAGAAGCGTGAATCCTATGGGTGCTCTCAACTCTAGAGCTTATGTCCCCAAAGAGATAGAGCTGCATTGAGAGTCTGCAAATGTTTAGAACTTGCACTTGGCTTCTCCCGGACCAGAAAAGACACCTAGTGGCAGTCCAGGCAAAACAGAGTTAAGTTGTTTAAAAAAAGTGAGCCTCTGTGGTCTCCTTTCACTGTCCCCTTCTCCCTTCGTGGCTTACATTTCACTCTTCATTAATCAACAATGAAGCATTATGTAGATAATTGCATACTGCTTCACAGTGCTATGTGGTAAATTGAAGTTAATTAGGGAAATTGGGATAAAAGAAAAATAATGGCTGGGAAAAATGACTTAAGGGTATTTCTCAAAAAATATATGCCATAAGATCCTATAATTTTACTAGATGTGAGTCATAAACTAAACATAGAGTAACTTAGTAGTTTGTTCAAAGAGAATAACTTCATGATTAATGGTGTTCATAAGATTTTTTTAAATTGCTCTATTGATTTGCATTATCAGATTATTCCTGACACAGAGATGTGAAAGAATTTTTCTCATAGATTCTCATTAAAAAGTACACTTTTCAAGTATGTAGAGAATAAATCTTTAATTATATCCTGCAACAGTAACTGCAACAAGTCCCATGGGGCTATTTTTAAATAATGACCTTCAGTAAACTAATAGCAAAGCTTTCAGTCATAGTTCAACAGAAGCAAAACAATGTAACCTAAATTCATAGCTTTCTATTGTCTGCATTAACGCAAAAATAAAAGTGTCAGTGAGTTTGAATTTATACTGCCTGGAAAGAATCTAAAATGTAGTTATTTTTCTTGGCCAATTAAATGTAGACCCATATGCTTTGATAATTGTCCATCCTGGGGGTAATTAGAGTGTACTTCATTTTAGGAATTATGATGTCTAACAGAACATATGCTTAAATGGAAAGCCACTAAATTTCTTGAGAATGGGCCATGGACTAAGAAAATGGTCATTTCCACGACCAAAACTTTTCTAAAATAATTTACTATTTTGGGTCTAACTCAGGTAGACATAGGTAATCAAAACCTCAACTTTCTATAGTGAAGTATAAACCCCAAATCATTTTATACTACGAATATTTTTTAAAAAGCTTCACCTACCATAAACAGTAATTTATTGATTTTGTAGTCTTATTTTTTTCTGGAAATGTTTTCCTGAAACAAACATCTAATTCTTGCTGACACAAAAGGTCTTAGATCTCATCTATTTTTGAGCTCTGTGCTCTTCTGTGGTGGCTTTACCCTCAGGTGTACTTCCCCATTTTGGTGACAACATGCCTATCAGGAATATATTCCACCAAATAAGCAAGCCCAATTAAAAGAAAGTTCTGGGCTTAATTCTAATTGGCCCAGTTTAAACTGGAATGCCCATTATGAGCCTATCACAGGTGGCCAGATGGATAAAATATACTTATTAGCCAGTTCTAGCTCATGTGCCTATACTTACTAGTAAAATGGAAAGTGAGAGAGAGGGGAATTTCATCTGAATGTCAGACACTAGGGGTCAGAAATCTATGGCCCACAAGTCAGCTACCTGCTTTGGTGAATGAAGGTTTTTGGAAAACAGTCATGCTTATTTGTCCATGTATTGTGTATGTCTGCTTTCATGCTACAAAGACACCATTGAGTAGTTACAAGGAACCACATAGCCTGTTAAGCCTGAACTACTTATTATCTGACCTTTTAAGAAAAAAGTTTGCTGACGCCTCACACAAAACAAAAAATGGGAAGAAGTGGTCCTCAAAAGAAAACCAAGGGATTTTTTGATTAAAGATAAATAAATAAATAAATAAATAAATAAACAAACAAACAAATAAATAAATGGAAAAGGAAAAATGCTGGACAGGAAAAAAATCAATACTACTCCTCTAAGATAACTGGGTTACAAAAGATATTCCCACATATCTAATTAGTTGTATTGATAGAGTAGATTTTGGAAGGCATCTTAAAAATAGTATTTGATTTTCAAAAATTATCTTTTAAAATCACCTAAATTGGTGATAGTGGTAATCATATTCCAGGTATACACAGAAGGATGCTTAACTTGCTATTTTCAAGGGATGTTGTAGAGAAAGAGAAACATTTGAATCCAGTTCATCCATACTGATAGTAAGGTCTACATATTCCAAAAACAAGGAAAGAAGCTTCTTAGCTGATAATGGCTAAGACCAGGTGATGATGGCTTAGACACATGGCAGACACTGTTCCAGGTACCTCATATATTCATATCTCATGTAATCTTCACCATCAACTGTGAGGTAGATATTATTATTACCATTTTATAGGTAAAGCTCAAAGAGAACAAGCTTCTTACCTTAAGCATAAAAGTTAGTGACAGAACTAGCTCCTAAACCCATGCTCCCGCTCAATGACATAAGTGACTGTTTTCCCAGGGAAAAACAAAAAATAATTCATGGTGAGGTTAACAGAACATGAATCAATCCAGTGTTGATTATTCTACTGCTATGCTCAGTTATATCCCCATAGTCATGTCAAGAACCCAAACAATCTTGGGGCTGTCAGGTAGTATAGAAGAGTCTCTCGAACAGACACTATCCTCAGGAATGAAATATCATTTCATATGATATGCTGGAAGGATTTGGGTATTTATATATCATCTGGCTCATAGTTTAGTAGTTGTCTAAACCAGTGTATTGAGAACTCAGGGATTGGAAAACTTGATTCTTTTCCTTACTTTTCCAGGTACATGCTGTATAAATGTGAAAGCCAGCTATTATTTTTGACATGTGGATGGAACCTTATAAGCTTCTGAAGAATGTTGTAAACATAGAAAAGCCTGGATACTTATGAGAAGCATTATGTTTTAATGAATCACAGCTCCATTTTAAAAATAGAAAATAAAGCTAAGGAGAATGGTGGAAAATCAAAAATTTCAAATGTATAACTACTATTTTAGTGTTTTTTAAAACAATTATGACAATTTTCAAACATATACAAAAGTTCAGAATCATTGTTTATGCCATACTAGAGATCCGGGGCATGAAATTCATGCACTGTGAGGGGGTGGGGAAGGGGAGGAGGTCGCTCAGCCTGGCCTGCACCCTCTCGCAGTCCAGAAGCCCTTGGGGGATGTCGGACTGCCAATTTAACAGTCCACTCCCACTACTGCCTCTGCACTCACCAGCCGTGAGCCCTGCTTCTGGCTGAGTGGTGCTCCCCCTGTGGAAGCGCACTGACCACCAAGGGGTAGCCCCTGTGTTGAGCAGGATTGGGCAGAAACCAGCTCTCTGACATCCCTAGAGGGGTCCTGGATTGCGAGAGGCCGCAGGCCAGGCTGTGGGACCCCACCAGTGCACGATCTGGGTTGGGGAGGGACATGGAGGTTGGCCAGCTGGGGAGAGACCACGGGAGGGCTCCAAGGCATGTCCAGCCCGTCTCACTAAGTCCCGATAGGCCGGACCCCAACAGCAAGCTAACCTACTGGTTGGAGCGTCTCCCCCCTGGTGGTCAATGCACGTCATAGCGACTGATGGACTGGTTGACTGTCTGCCCCCTGGCAGTCAGTGCATGTCATAGCAAGTGGTTGAGTGGCCTTAGCATATCGTTAGCATATTACGCTTTGATTGGTTGAACAGACAACTGGACTACAGAATACTTAGCATATTAGGCTTTTATTATATAGGATACCTTGTCCCAGATTAAGAAATTATCAACATATGTCCAAACTTGTTTTATTTTTTAAATTGAATTTATTGGTTACATTGGTTAACAAAATTATATAGGTTTAAGGTGTACAATTCTATATAATACATTATCTGTATAACCTCAACAATACCCATCCCCTATGTTAAAACAAACTTTAAATATTATATCATTTCATCTATAAATTCTTCAAAATATATTTCTACAAGATAATTCTACTAAACAAAAACAATCACAAAAGCATTTCATACCTTAAAAATTAACAATAAATTGTTAATGTCACTAAATATCTATTTATTGTTCAAATATCCCTGTTTACATCATATATATGTATTTCATACACATATATATGTGATTTGTCCTAGAAAATATTCCATAATCTGGATTTTGCTGAATGCATCCCTATGGTGTTATTTAACATGTTCCTTTTTGCCTTGTACTTCCTGTATACTGGTATTAGATCAAAAAGCTTGATCATATTTAGGTTTAATTATTCTTGACAATAATCATAAAAATCATGTCTTTTGTCTCTCTACTGTGCATCTCATCAGGAGACATATTATCTGATTGTCTCTCTTTACATAATGTTCAAAGATTGATTAATTGGTTCAGATGTTATCAACCTGACTCGTCCACTAGAAATGTGGGACAACTTTTATGGGTATATGTAAACTGCCAAGAAACAAGCTCACACAGTTTCAAAAAGGCATAAAGCATTTTTAGAAAAGCCTGCCTCCATACTATATGCTATGCTGGTTTAGTCTTCTGACATTGGATTTGGTTACAACTATTCTGAGATGAGGGGTAAAATAAAGCCTGAAGTCCCCTGCTATGTGTAAGGAGGGCAACTCTCTATAACCTTTTTTAGAATTATAAATAAAATGAGGTTCTATGCAAGTACCTTCTCCATTAGCAACTCCCTCTATGTTTCCAATCTTCTCTCCCATTACTTCACTAAAGGGAAGTTTCTAATGTTATCCATTTATATGAATAGTACTATGCCAGACCAATAGTCTTCCTTTTCTAGAATGATAGGCCATATCCAATATGTAGTTTCCCTTGTAAAAGTGTCCATGTAGCTAGTTACACTACTGGCCCCAATTGCTCTCTACATCAGTTGGCCTATTGGAGAGCATTTCTGAAACATTTAATATGTTTAGGCATTGTGCTAGGCTCTGACTAAACAGGCTGGCAAGGGAGGGTAGTTAGAAGCAACAAGGCCTGCAGGGGAGGACAGTTACAGGCAACCAGGTCAGCAGGGGAGGGCAGTTAGGGGCAATCAGGCCGGCAGGAGAGCAGTTAGGCCTCGATCAGGCTGGCAGGGGAGTGGTTAGGGGATGATCAGGCTGGCAGGCACAAACAGTTAGGGGCAATCAGGCAGGCAAGCAAGAGAGAGGTTGGGAGCCAGCAATCCTGGATTGTGAGAGGGATCCCAGATTGGAGAGGGTGCAGAATGGGCTGAGGGACACGCCCCCCCATGCATGAATTTCGTGCACTGGGCCTCTAGTATAAATGTAAACAAAACAAACATGACAAAAATAATATTTACAGCTATTGAAGGTAAATGGTGGGTATATATGTGATTATTGTACTAGTCTTCCAACTTTTTAATATGTCTGACATTTATATATTTAAAAGATGGAAAATATTATGTCAATACATATCTAATAGGGAAAAGAATGGGAAATAGAGCTGATGTTCTCCCAAGGCCCATTTTAATCCTCTGATTTTGGAATAACAGAAAAAGCATTTGGGAGCAGTGGTTATAGAGACTAAAAGAAAAAAATGGAGGGAATTAAAAAGGAGCTTCCTATAAGCCAATATCATAACAGCTTGCTCATTAGATTAGAATGATTACTTCTTTATTAGGCCTTATTTGAGCTGTCATCTGGTATCAATTAGGTCAGTTATAGTCTGTCAGGCCTATCAGAGGGAAATAGAGCAAGGTCCATCCTGGCTTGAGGATGGAATAATTAAAGCAATGGGAATAATGGCTACTCTTCAGTTTAACTCTCATCCAATCAATTGAGCCCTTCCAATCATGTTCAATGTGAAAGATGTGAAAGGAGAGCAAAATTACTGCCAAAATTGAGTTTTAAAAAATCTCATTTCAACAATCAAATCAAATTATTAGTGAGGTGAAGAGTTACAAATAAAATATTCTGAAATATCATTGTAGAAACTAAAAGAAGGGGGATGCAGAAACGACACCACCTTGAAGGGCAGAGCTGCTTTGACTAGGAGCCCAGCCACACCACCACCTAAACTGGCCTCAGATGAAAGCTGAGACCCCACAGCCAATCGGGACAAATACCAGCTACCACAGCTGAAGCCTCATGGGCACCAACTCCACCCATACTGGTCTCAGGCTACTATGGGTCCTGGAGTGTATTCCCCTTCGACCTACCCACCCGGCAGCATAGGTCTCATGCATCCCAAGGCAACCCCCTGACTACCGGCGTGCACAGACCCTGCCTGGACCACTGTGGCTGCATCTCCTGGGCACTTGAGCCAGCCCCCTTACTGTCATGTGCAGGACACTTCCGCCAAGCCCACAGCCACAGGGCAGGGCCCATGCAGCTGGGCACCTGGACCCTACAGCAACAGCAGAAATGGGGAGACAAAAAAGCCACCCCCAAAGGACAGAAAAAGAGAAATCCCCCCCAAAAAGGGAACTAAATGAAAAGGAGGCATACACTATATCAGAAAAAGAATTCAGAGTTCAGAGTAATGGTCATATAGTTCATAAACCAGATGGACGAGAAAATCAACACCTATGAAAGAACCAAGAAGAAACCAAAAGTGATATAGCTATAATAAAGAACACAAAGGAAGACTTCAACAATAGACTAAGAGAAGCAGAGGACTGGATTAGTGAGCTAGAAGATAGGGCAGAGAAACAAGCCCAATCTGAACAGCAACTAGAGAAAAAAATTAGAAAGCAGGAGGAGAGCCTAAGGGAGCTTTGGGACAACATGAAATGATGCAACATACATATAATAGGGGTTCCAGAGAGACAAGAAGAGCAGTAAGGATTAGAGGACCTATTTGAAGAAATAATGACAGAAAACTTCCCTGATATGGGAAAGAAAAAAGTCACCCAAGCACAGAGAGTCCCAAACAAGATGAACCCAAAAAGACCCATGTAAGACACTTTGTAATGATAACGGAAAATGTTAATGACAAAGAGAATCTTAAAGGCTGTGAGACAGAGAGTTACCTACAAAGGATCCCCCATTAAACTATCAAATGTGTTTCTCAACAGAAACACATCAGGCCAGAAGGAAATGCAATGAAGTATACAAAGTAATGTAAAGCAAGGGACCGAATCCAAGAATACTCTATCCAGCAAGGCAATCATTCAAAACTGAAGGAGAAATCAGGAGCTTCATAGACAAAAAAGGGCTAAGGAAGTTTATCACTACCAAGCTAACAATGCAAGAAATGCTAAAGGGAATGCTGTAAAAAGAAGAAATAAAAAGGTAAGAAAGAACACAGGCACAAAAATAAAAACGACTACAAACAAGTACCTTTCAATAATAACTTTAAACGTAAATGGACTAAATGCTCCAATCAAAAGTT